CATGTCTCGACGCAAAACTGAAGGGCTCTGCAAAAAGCCAAGTGGTGGACCCGGGGCCGGGGACCCACGAGATTCTGTTGGTGCCAAGACGGAGCCTCCGTCGTCTGTCAGTAAATCGGGCACTACAGACGCCGTTGCTGCCGTGCTCTGGTCAACTGCCGAGCGAGCGTCATTTGCTTCTGCAGACGCTGGCTCGGCAAGCTGTTGATAGAGAATACGGCACAACTGGGCACACCACTCATCGCCAATCAGCTGCAATTGGATCAACGATAGTGGCAGGACACAACGAGAGTGAGCAGGGTGAGAACAGCAAAGCCAAAGCAAGGTGAGCCAAACAGTGACTTCAAACGCAAAAGACGCGCAACCCACCGTGCTGGCCACGACCAACGAATTGAGGGCCTGCAAGACCTTATTGTCTTGAGTTGGAACTGTTGGTGAAGGGAGCGCGGCAATCAAATGCTCGCTCTGATGGCAACAAGAGGTGTGACAAGGTCAGAAACGCATAGGAACAGTCTACTGCACTGCGCTTCCACGAAACCATACATACCTGGCTGCCGGCCTCGATGGCATCCAGGACTACGAACAAAAACACAAGTCAAAGGTGTATAAGATCAAATGAAAATGTGTGTCCGGCCGGCCAGTAAGCTAAGTACCCCTGCCAACAAACCTTGTCCGCTCAGATAGGCTGAGTAGATTTTGCGCACCATGGCCCCGCTGTAGGCCAGAGGTGATGTGAAAGGCGTTGCGCGCTCGTAGCTAGTGATGTGACTCTCCGCTCGCTGCACAGTAAACATTGCGTTATGTTGTTCGGTCAGCAAGCAAAGAGTATGACTGATTTGGCAGGCGGCATGGGTCGGCGTCTCCCTATCAAAGCCAGACCCCCATACCCCCCATATCCACACACACACACACACACACACACACACACGCACACTTTTACACGCACATACCTTGAACTTGACATCAAACACACAGAGCCGACAGTCGTCAAACACGACCACAGGACGATCTGCACGAGCCCAGCACACGTGCATGGCCTAAAGGGCCGCATTCAGTGATCAACAAGCGATATCAGTGGAGTCAATGATCTGCAAGCGCTGTTTATGAGGAGAATAGTTTTTGGGAGAGAAACCCAACCTGAGGTCCTTTTTTGCCCAGGGGAAGTGCAGACAGGACTGGCC